ATTGGAGGGCTTGTCGCGCCAGGCGCGCACCTGTTACATACCCCTTGTAACGGGGTATGTCGCGTGTGTGGGCCCCGGCCTTGTTACAAGCCTTTGGTTTTGACCCGCTCCCAAATAATTCCAAATAATTCCAGATAAGTCTAGAAACTTCTAAATCATTCCAAAACATTCTAAAACATTCTAAAACATTGCACAAAATACGACATTTTTTGGAATGTTTTGGATTTTTGGAATGTTTTGGATTTTTTGGAATGCTTCGGAGTTTTTGGAATGTTTTGGTAATTTGGGAATGTTTTGGAAATGTTTGCAAAGTCTTTTGGACTTTGGGTTTGTTTGGCGAGCTTTCTCAGATGTTTTTTCGAGTGTTGCATTCCGAAATCTTCCAAAACATTCCCAAATATTTCCAGATATTCTCTAGCTGTTGAAGAAGACCCTGGTGAAGAAGCCAAAATTGTGCATCAATGATTCCATTGCATTCCATTGCACTGTGCAGCACAATCTTCCTTTTTCTTCCTTCTGCTGCGACTGTGGACGATGCTCACTACGTGTTGCGTTCCTATGGTGGAGTCGTTGGGCGAACTGCACCGGTGCTGGGCCCGTAGGACATGAGAATAGCGCCGCGCAGCTGTTCATCTCTTCGATTCCCACGGGTCCATTTGGCGCCTTTGGCCTCGTCGAAACTTCCTCTAGCGTCTCAAGCTCCACTTGGGGCATGTGGCCAATATTGGCCCATGGTGTACCTCGGTCTCGGACCTGCACCTGCTTTGTTGGCTCCACCTTTCTCTTCTTCTGCAGGGCGGCAGCTCCGGCACTCTGTGAAATTTGTGGCCGCACAAAGCACGGCTCTCTTCTTTGTTGGCAGTAGCTTCCGCAGGGTTTTGCACTGGAGCGTTTCTTGTCCAAGGCAGTGCTATGCCCTGTGCATGTGCAGGCTTGCAGTATGGCCTCTAATTGGAGCTCAAGGGCTCTTCCATGCAGCATGCTCAAATGGCTGACCACCGTTACACTGTACAGGGAACATGTGATGCACTTCAGCAAATGGGTAAGGGGTCACGCAAGCAGAGCGATGTGGATCCTGATCTAGCCCTGCGTTAGTAATTTATGCCTGGCAAGTCCCGGAATGTCTTATCAAAGCAGGTTTGGAATCGCACAAGATTGCATCCTGAGTGTACCACGCAGATTCACAGGACCGGGTCGTAGCCGCACTGGGGCAGCATCATTGGGTACCTCTGCCAAACTTTGCCGAAGACCCTGCAAACACTTTGAGGCATGTGATATGTAGCCAAAGTGTAGCCAAGGCGCAGGTTTGCACAGCTTGCCAGCTTTGCAATCACCTCCTGCCATTCATTGCCATTCTGCGTCTTTTGTCCAACGATGCCCGACCAGCAATCCTCCCCCATCCCAGATGCCAGGCGGAGGTGCAACCTGACCAATAGGCGGACTGAAGCACAGCCGTGTACAGCCTGCACTGTGCGCTGGCGAGTTCCTGAGCATCTGCATCCCAAATGGAGGCAGCCGTGCTCGGCTGAAAGCCTGAGAGGTGACATTAAACCAAGTCCCCTCAAACATTCTCAAGCCAGCTGCTGCACCAGGGCGATGACCTTCCTCCGATGCTGAACTGGAGCTGTCCTGGACAGCGATTTGAAAGCAGGGTCTGCCTGATGACACCAAGTTGACCCCCAAGGTCCGAGTAGTCATCAGAGTAATCTGACCTTCAAGAGGTTGCACCGGCGTCAAAGACAGGGTCCGTACGCTTGGGCACCCTTGTTGGATCTGGGAGCTCAGCCACTGCGACGAACTGCTTCCCTTGCGACCTCATGCACAACCCAGCCCTCTTTCAGGACGTACCTCTTAACATCTTCTGTTGGTCTAGGGAGCATGCGGCAGGGCACCAATACGATCCGTGTCTGCTGTCCTGCTGTTAAAGAGCATACTCCTCGCAATCATGGCCTTTTCAAACTTGAAACTCCTGGGCCGGACATCTGCCTCGACCTTGTATCCAAGGTGTCTGAGCTTGCCTCCACCCTCATGCTGACTGAGGTCCCTGCTCGCGTCCCTGGTGCTACGCGCATTGCCGAGAGATTGATGGCCAACAAACAGGACTGACCTAACCTAACCGTCTCGGTACGCATCGAATGTTGCAGTTAGCCAAAATACCCTCAGGCAGAGTTCGGCATTGATGCAAGTTGTTGGAATTTAGTAAACGTGTCTTCAAGCTGCAGCTCAGAACGTCCAGCTTGAATATCTGCAGCTCGGCCGTGCATTGTGTGTTCAAACGACTGCACCTTCTTCACCCAAGCAAACTGAGCTCAGAGCGCGTGAGAGGGCAGGGCGGTCCAAGGCGCAGGGCGCGCGCGCATCCAAAGCGCACACGTGCTCTGACGCCAGCATGCACACAGGGTCCCTCTTCGGCTCTGGCTGGCATCTACGGCTTAGGGGTTGGGGTTCCACACAAGACACAAGGTCCCTCTTGGGCTGTGGGGTTGCCGCTCTGGGGTCTAGCAGTTAGGGCTTTGGGATCAGGTTTATTTGGGCTTAGGGCTTTTTAGGGTTCAGGTTTTTTTAGGGCGCAGGGTATTTTAGGGTTTTAGTTAGGTTGTTCGGGGCTTAGGGTTTTGTAGGCTGAGTTTTTGTTTGGAGGTGTACGGTCTTTAAGGGCTTGGGGTTGTTTAAGGTCTAGGCCCTTTTAGGGCTCAAGTATTTTTTTAGGGTTTAAGGTTTTTTAGGGCTTACGGCATTTTTGCCGCTTGCATGGCCATACAGCATTGCAAGGTTAGAATCCGGGTCAAATCACAAACTACACATCCCGAACAGCAGACAGCGTCAGGAGGAAGCCGTCCGGTGCGCTGGACTCCATCAAAGTTATTCACCGACGCTGATTAGAATACGAACCGACATCAACCCCGAGTAACGAAACCCAACCAAATCAGCGTCGAAACGCACGCAGCTACCCTCCTCGCAAAACATGCAACTACAATTCGCGTGTCGGCATGCAGGACCCATGGCTCCAGTCCCAAGAACTGCAGCTAGCATGGCCATACGGCAAGGTAACAAGTGTGGGCCAAATGGGGAAGTGTTTCTCAAGGCCCAGCAGAGACACGTTGTGCTACGTGCTCCCTCACAGCAACCTACACTAGCACCCAGAAACCAGAAACCACTAAGCAAGCAGCATCACCAACTGCACACAAAATCACCCCGTAGATGCTCGGGACCACCGCGGAAGTTCACTCAGACTACGCAGGCGAATCATCGATTTACTCATGCAACTGACACTGAAAAATGGATGCACTCCAACATACTTGTGCAGAAGAATTCGGAAAAAGTCCAGAGCAAAGCTGATCACGTAGCTTGCGGCCATGCTTGTCCAGGAAACTAGGCAAATGTCCAGAGCAGAGTTGATCATGTAGCTTGCGACCATACTCGCCAGAAAAACTTGGATGTGATCACATAGGGTATTTTAGGATTTAGGGTTTTGTAGGAATTAGGGCAGGTTTAGGGTTGTTCAGGGCTTAGGCTGTTTTAGGGTTTACTTTTTTTTAGGGTTTAGGCATGTTTAGGTTTAGGATACTCTGAGGTTTAAGGTTTTCAGGGTTTAGGGCATATTAGGGTTTAGACTTTGCAGGATTGAGGGTTGTTTAGGCTTTGGAAGGATTAGGCCGTTTTAGGGTTTAGGGTTTTTAGTGTCCACGGTTCTTTGGGGTTAAGGGTTTTTGAGGGTTCAGTGTCTTTGTTGGGTTTAAGTTTAAGGTTGATTGGGGCTTAGGGTGTTTTAGGTTTTAGGAATTCTTTGGGTTCAGGGTTTATTGAGGTTTGCGGCTTTGTGGGGTTCAGGGTGTTTCAGGGTTCATTTTTTTTAGGGTTTAGGTGTTGTTGGGCTTAGGATATCTTTAAGGTTTAAACCTTTTCAGGGTTTAGGGTTGCTTAGGGTTCAGGGTGTTTTAGGGTTTAGGCCTTTCCAGGGTTCAGGCTTTTTGAGGGTTCAGTGCTTTTTCGTGGTTTAGGTTTTTTAGGGTTGAGGCCTTTACAGGGCTCAGGGTTTTGCAGGGTTTAGGGTTTTGTTTTGGGTTCAGGCCCGTTTCGTGTGTTTAATGGTTTAGGGTTTTTAATGGTTTAGGGTTTTTGAGGGCTTCCGGTTTTCTTGGGTTCAAGATTGTCTAACGGCTGATGTTTCTTTAGGGTTTAAGGTGTTGTGGGGCTTAGGGTGTTTTAGGGTTAGGGTTTTTGGGGGTTTAGAATTTGTTTGGGTTTCACACTCTACCCTGTCGGACCGAGTGCACATGGCCACGCCCCGCGTGCACCTCAGACACAAACCCCGCGCGCACCTTCGACGCAAACCGCGCGTGCACCTTAGACGTCGCGCCCACCAGAGAGAGAGAGAGAGAGAGAGGGAGAGAGGGGGAGAGGGAGGGGAGGGAGGGAGAGGCAGGCACATGCAACACACGACCAGTTTCAGCAGCCTGCGATGTCATCTGCCATCAAGTCTCCCGTATGCATGCATACATACATACATACATACATATAATATGCGGGGCAAATGGCTTGCTGCAGTGGCTCTATTGAGCCTGTCCTGGAATGATTTGGGAGATAGCTTGCTTGCCTCTTGCCTTGGGATCATGGGCTGCCACTTCTTGCCACACTTACGCCGTAAAGACTACCTGGCATGCATTCTGTATCAGATGTATCGGTATTGCGGCATGATTTATGTTCATATGGCGCTGTTTCCAATGTACATACCAATGCCAGCCTTTTTCATCTTTCTCTCTTGCAATCAATGCCAATGTTGCTGACACTTCCGCAAATACCTGACTTGCAATTCTGGGAGCTAATGAGTCTAACTGCAGGAATATGTGGCTGCCCAGGCTCAGTGTCGAGTTCTCATATTCAGGAATACACTCCTGAAGCCAACAGCAGCAACAAGTTTTGACCATCTAGCCGCGACATGTCTTGCCGAGACCTGCCCAATTGAACAAGAAGAAGGTTCCGTAGCCAAAGCACCTGAGACAGGTTCAAAGAAGCATGGCTGCTACCAGAGCCAGTTGCAAAATGACAAGCTTGATCCGAGCGGCGTCGACGAAAGCATTGCAACAATCGGCTGCGGAACCACCAGTCTTCGTGGCTGCTTCTCGGGAAGCCCTGAGAGCATTGACACCTGGCACTTGAGAAATACAATGTTGTGCGCGTGCGCAGGCACGTGCTTATTCAGGCCTCGCGCCAGACGAAGTGAATCCTCGAAATATAACTACTAACAGTCATTAGCAGGCATCGAATTTTGCATGACAATTTGAGAAAGTAAGAAGTGCCAAGAGTCAGTAGCAGCCATGCCACACCAAGCAGGGGAAGGGCCAAGCATGCTTGACTGGAGAGCGGAAGAAAACTGGGCAACCTAGGCAGGTACTTGGTATGTGAGTTCGCATCGGCGCTGGCAGGCTGTGCGCCAACAGGGCCAGTACGCCAGGAGCAGCGTATTGGTTGCAAGAATCAGCTCTTGCATCAGCGCACGTAGGTCCAAGTACTCCTTGGCAAGCGAACACTGCACTAAGAGGATGTGCAAACATGATGTCATGAGAACGCTTGCATTGGCGCCAACTGGCGGGGCTTGTATTACTCAAAAGGCTCTAAGGGTGAGGTCAAGGAAGGCGGGGTACAGGAAATGATCTTCAATATCATGGAGTCTACAAGAGGGATCGTTTAACCCACCCACCTTCATCCCACCTTTTGAGCTCCTTGAATTATCAAGCAAAGATTCCGCTGGTACGGCTGACGCCAGCATGAGTGCGAGACCTTTGTGGCATGTCATTGGCAGTCAGTCTCAGAGGGAGATTGAGGAAATCAAGGGCTGGGGGAATTTGGGGACGACTGGCGACAGTTTTGAAGCCCCTGTCACATCACTTCTTATTGAACCCAGTATTTCGTGTGACAGGTACTAGGGTCCCCTCATATATATATATATATCCATATATTTCTTGTGTTTAGGCCTCGGAAGAATGTATAAGCTTAGGGGCTAGGGGGTACGGTCGACATGTTGCTCACTGTTTGCTAACACGCGGCTGCTGCTGCTGCTGCTCCTCCTACTACTACTCCTACTACCCTACGGGCGTGTTTTCTGTCCACATTTTTTGTTAATGAATGATAAATTAAATACATGGGTTTCGGACTGATTTTAGAATGATTTGGGGGCTGTAGAAAATTAAGATTTTTGTGCAATTTGCAAAAACCCATAGTTTCAGCGCAAAAACTCGCCCCTTTTTTTTTAAGATTGCGTTTTTGCCGTTTTCCACACGCCTGCTATGGTTTCGTGCAAAAAGTGCGTTTTTCATCGTCGGAGAAATTGTTGCATGTTTTTGCTCTTTTTTACGCTCATGTATGAAAAATATAGCTTGTGAGTGGGACTGCATAAGCATACGATGGTAGCAGCATGACCGTATGATGAGTACAAATGAAGGA